TTCATAAAAAAAAGTTCATGTTCATTGCTCCGTTCCACATGGCCGGGCTCGGCCAATGGGAGAAACGCTCGCGTCGTAAAGTTGTTCCACAAAGTTGTAAATTGTCATAAACCATCGTCAAATTTACTGTGTTTCTAGTGACGCGCTGAGAGGACAGAAGGAAGGCGCCGCCATTTTGGACCGGGCGAGAGTCGCGGATTTGGCGCTTGCCAACAGACAGAGGGGCGGGGGGCGGGGGGGGGGGGCGAACATTTAAACGAAAAACATTTAACAAAAACACATTTAACAAAAAACAAATGATAAAATGGAATAATATGGCGACTCGAAACTAAACAAAACCCACAAAGTTTGAGCGATTTCTTGCTTCAAACAGGAAGAAAAAACATATAACCGACCGCGTCGCGAGCAATACCGCCATCAAACAATCAACTACCGCTCAGAAATAACAACAACAATAGCAACAAAGATGATAGCGATCGTGACTTCGACGTCCGTACCTCTGTGTACATAGCCTGGCACTGCGAGTAACAACACCTGCGCCTGAGCGAGGTGTGTAGATACGAACTGTGATAATGTGACGGCGGACGGCGAGATACTTACCGAATATAAGTGCACTTTGTGCGTGCGAGATTGTGTGTGTGTGTGTGTTTACACATATATACTACGTCTAGTTAATTTGCGATAAATATAACGGCGTAAATATATATTTTAATAATAATAATAATGTCGACGAGATAGCGAGATTTTGAGATGTGTTTGCGCAGTGAATATAAACGCCACGCGTCGAGCGCGCGTGTTATGGCCGTGTAATAATACTAACACGAACAACAGAGCCCCTTACGCGATAACAATAAGTAGAGATGTAATTATAAAATATCGATAACAATTTTATTTTCGTATATATAAATAAAATAGGGTATATTTAATAACTAAACTGAAAAATCGTACGAATACACGCTGCTTCCCACGGCCCTATATGACTGTTGTCCATGCGGGTTTTTGTAGCCGTTATGTCTGGTTTCACGATACTGGAAAGGTATACTTATAGATTGTTATGATTGCAATGATCTTATAATTCCAGGGATTATATTCGTATGCATATATATTTCGTTTGAAAGAAAAGGTCGTTTGCAAATGGATGTTAAAAGATCAGACGACTGAGTCTCAGCTTTCCGTCTTTGTCAAACACTAATAATGTCTGTAATTATTCGGGCGTGTAGTGGTGGTAGTAGTAGAATAGTTCTAGCCTCTTGTCGCGCTTAAAACAATTAAATACGGTTGCCTATTCTGGACATGCGCTGTGGTTTCACAACAGTGTAAATGTTATATATATATATATATACATATATCAATTACTATATGAAATCGTGACAAAGCTTTCGTGACTGCAAGAATTCATACTCTTTGGGTCTTTCGGTAAAGTCACGTAGATAGAACAGTAATAATACTAAATTAAGTTTGTTCGAAGATCCACATATAGGCGGCGTATTATCGCGAAATACGTTGTAGAATTACTTTAATTCGTTTATTGTATTCAATGATATACACTGTTTATATAAATGCATGGTATTTATACAACAGCAATTGGTTTATATATATATAATTCAGGATGGTGCGCCGCTGTTTGTAAAATAAATGAGAATATTTAACCGTGGGAGTTTGTCGTTGTATTATATGCGAACGGTCAGAAGATTAAAAACATTTTTGGGGACTAAAAAAATTCCGTACGATTTTTTTTGAGTCGGCGAAATCGTACCGACAGTTGACCGAGCGACTTCGTGTCCATCTCCAGGCAACATGGCAACGAATCGTCCGTTCTGAGTGATGCCCCCCTCCCCCTCCATCTCGAGCCATCGGGAATCTGTGCTCAAATTTTTTTTTATAAGTTTTTTTGGGATAATTATCGATTGCGAGACAAATAACTCATCCGACCCATATTTGGGCTCTCCACGTTCAACCCATCGGGCCAGCGACACGGCCTCTCTTCGGTAAGGCGCCGTCCCGTCAGCTTGTATCAGCAAGTATTGGTTCAACACAAGCAAATTGTAAAAAACAAAACTAAAACTTGCATCGGCTTCTGACGTCCCGTGTCACATCAGCAGTCAGGCTGAGCTCGAACCAATCGGGCGATGCTGCTGACGCATTTGCCCGATGTCGATTTCACCAAACCAAGGCGCCGTGCGGATAGGATTGAGACATACATCACGAATATGAGCACGCGATTCATTTTCTCACGACGTGTCTCGTGCCGTTGTCTTCTGCGCGAAGGGATACACGAACATAGACGCGGTGGAGGGGGGGGGTGATGCGGTTGTTCTTGCATTGCCTTTGTGTGCCCACCGAGCGTGAAACGTCCGCGCACCGGCGGCGGAGACTGCCTAATGACGGCACTACTTTATTGCGCGCTCGTAACGTCGTCCTGTTTGCACGTGCTACTAATAATGACAATACACTGAACACACAAAATAATGATGAATGTAATTTTCAAACTAAGAGTGGCTTAATTGGGGTGAGTGTGTTTAATCAGCACAGTACTATAACCGCTCAAGTTGAGCGATCGTTTGGTCATTGTTACCTGTGGTGTGATACACAGAGCACGCACGAGGTTTTTTTTAAATGTTGTTTGTGAATAATAGCAGCAGTGAAGAATAATAAAATAATCACAGTACATTAGCCTATGCAATTAAAATAAATAACTACCGCCCGAATTTGGAGTTCACTTCAAATAATCTATTTTCCCAAGTTCGTAGCTACCTTTCAATTCAAGTAAGCGTTTCTGTTTTGTAAAACAACTTTAAATCGTGCCGGTTGTCGCGAGCCGTGACACGTGTACATAGCGTATACATATAATGTGTGTATCGATGTTGATGCAGTCGAGATGACACCACGTCTCAAGAACGCTGTGAAGAAACCGCGGCTAATGACTCTTGTAGAGTCCAGGAGACGGCAACCTGGGGCACCGCAGCCGCATGCGGCACTTTGAGGACTGCTCCGTGACATTATTCACATTGCATTGCGGCTCTTTAAATATTGAGTTCTTTTTTAACTCGAATTCGATTTAAAAAAAAATGGTCTTCTTGGTATTTCGGTTTGCCTTACCCAAGGGTCAGACAGAGGCAGCATCAGTCACAAGCCGTCGAGACAGAACATGTTTTGAATCTGGACTGTTGAAACATATAAGACCCCTCCCTATGTGTAACAATGATAATTGTGAACATTGCCGTATATTTGTAATTTATTTAGGATACGAATGTGAACAATCGGCAAATACGGTGACGTACTTGCCGTTTTTTGCGACAAACTAACCCCACTATCGGCTCCATATCACTGCGATTAATAAGTATACAACAATAATGCGTGGTACTGATCTTTAAAGACGCGTGTGGGTGATTCAATGAATATTCGATCGACTAAAAGAGACTGCAGGTGGAGCGGTGGGGCAGTGGTTAAGCGCACGAAATTGCAAAACACAGCAGAAACACCTCCGTTGAGATCACGAGACCATCACGGCGACCAACGTGAGCGCCGTCTCGTCTCCGTACACACGGAACCCGCACCAAACAGTTGCTGTGGAATAAACGCGTGGCCGAACGTCCCCCGAACTCGTGACCCTGTCCTCCAACAGTGGACTTACCAATTCGGGCTGTGGACATTGGCGTTTTACAAATGAATTCTCTCATAATTATCGATATTTTTACGGGCGTAATAAATATAATTTCATGGCGTCAGTCGCATAGCAGACGCGCGCTGTTTAAACGACATTGCAGATCGTGTACTGTGCATTTAACACAAACACCCACAACTCAACACACTCGTCAGCAACAATGTGGCATGTTCAATAGTAAAATAGATTTAATCGGGGACGTTTCGGGCAATGGCCCTTCTTCATGGCACACACAACCAACTGAAAACCGAACCAAATTGCTTTACGTGCTATCAGGCAGGGTCATTGCCTGAAACGTCGCCAATTAAATGGAAATTTTCTCATTTTAAAGCTACGGCGTTGTTGCTATTGAGCGAGTTGTTGTTGTTGAGTGTATTGTAGTCAACCGCCACTGCAAACGCAGTAGTCAAATACAATCGCATGCGCCGTAATTATATCACGCACGCACACCGCTCGTACTGAATTACAAAAAAAAAACACTTCAACAGTTGCCTTGATGATGCAGTATATAACTTAGATCGTCGTGAGTGGTGTGGACACATTCTAATCTGAACGCGATAAGCTGTACTTTTTAAGTTTTGCATTCGAGATACGAAACGTTATCATTTGTATTTTGTTTATGCAATGCACGCACTGCGTAACGTTAGAGCGCCTTTTGATAAAAACAAGAATCATTTTAAAATAGAAAATAAAAAAATTATTATCAGCTCTGTGTCAATCCACTGCTGGATGAAGGCCTTGTTTAACCATACTTTCACCACGCCGATGATGGTGGCGGCGGAGTTAGGATCGGTTCAGATACGATAGCCATTTGTGTTAGGTGTGTTTAATAATATACGTTCAAGCCGAATATTATCATGCGTCACGATATTATCTGCTAATTCCTATGGCAAGCATCTCGTTCCGAACGGAGCTCGTGAACTTACGGGTATACAATGTGTGTTCACGCACACATCTATGCACAGGCGCTACCAGTAGCCGTATGGGTTTACCACTATACGCCTTTAACAGACTGTTGGGGCACGCGCTGTAAGCGAGAGGCACCTATGAAGGCCGCCTCGGCACACGATTGGTGGTGCTGTGGTCAGAACCACGCTCGCCAGGCCGAGTCTCCCCAAGTGATGATGCTCAATGCACACCGCACAAGGTACTCGTTTAAAGGCCGCAAGGGAGACAAAGACTGGACAGGCTTGACTGCTTGACCACACCACCCCGTCGTGTGCCGTGACACCCTCCACGGGTCCTCGCTAACAGCACTTGTCCCAACAGTCTGTTAAACGCTATACGGGGGATCTTTGCTTTTTTGTGATGTGATCGCGCTACGCGATATTCACGCGAAGCTCGCTGTCTGACCAGTGCTATCGTCCAAATGAGACCGAATACACGACACGGACCCCCATATATGGGAATGCTAATCACGAAAACACCGCAATGGAATATGGCTTTATGCTCGAAGACGCGGTAGAATTAGTTTTTTGTATTATTACTTTATTTTGATAACACTCTTAGCAAAAAAAAAGGAGGAAAATGATCAAGAAACATGCACACGCACACTCAACCTACTTGCCATCTTGGGCCACAGCTCTGTCGCGGACGCGTGAGAACAGACACGCCTTGATGATACACACGCAGCAAAGTGGAAGAACAAAAAACCACAACAACAATAACGACAATACACACATGCCTTGTAAAATCTTGTCAAAAAAGTCACGTATATGTAATAAATATTACAAGCACACGAATTGAATCTGTATCATCTGTTGTAACTTTCACATTTGGGAGTATAATCCTATATACGTCACACTATTGGTAAATCATATAAAGTACAGACACGCGAGGTTATATGGTGGGTGGCTAGCTTACAAGAAGGTAGTGTACACGTGTGTGGGGTTTTTTTATATATATATATATATAAAGGTGATCCCTACGTTTCGAGAGGTAACCATTACTTTGGGGAAGTAAGAAAGACAAACGCTCCGTGCACACACACACGCGCGCAATATATCTACACAACACTAACGTCATAGTTGCTATGTGTATATATTCATATGCGTATCGTTAACCAGATCTATCAACGGGGATATTGTATTTTTTGTTAAACGAGTCACAGCTGTAACAAAACACCCTTTGCTGTTTAATCACGACGGTGTGTGTGTGTGTGTGTACACTCTGCACGTGTATATACTGGTAGTAATTCATAGGTAGCATCATTAAAGTACTGGCTTTGCTCGAGTCTAGGTAGTTCTTTTCTTGATCTATTTTTGAAAGCTAATACCTCTAAGCAGGCCCAGAGTATTGCTATCATTATTATTCAATAGTTTTGCATGAAACTAATTTATGTAGCCTATCGAGTACAGTACTTATAGTTTACTCCGCGAGGAAACACCTGGAGCGTTAAACATAATTATAATAATATCGTAGTAGTAATTCATGCTCAAATGAGCAGCTTTGAGGCGGTATTTAAAGCCCTGAGCCAGTGGCGGGAAATTCCACATCCCTATGACAGCGGCGGCGACGACTCAATCTATATCCGTAAGACAACCACTGTGGACATCGCCACAAAGTGGTATTAATTTTATCGACCCCCCCCCCACACCACCGACTTGGTAGTCGCTCGCTCTACAGCTGAGACACCAGGCTGGTTAAAACATTATTAAAACACAATTAAGACGGCGTATATATTGAACATTCCAGATAGTGGTTCACCGAGCGTGCAAAAACGGGGAGTTAAAATTGCGGTTTATGATTTACAAGAAATTGAAAAAAGCGACTCCGTGTATTGTATGTTATAACATGCCAACACACACACACACACACCCGGGTGTGCGTGTCAGGGCACGACGCGTGGACGGCTCAGATCACTCAAGAATGCGTTTGATGATCGCTGGGTTATAAAGCCTGGCGACTTCCACTCACCGACCCACCAACAATCGTCACCATCGCCGTCATTATCGTCAATCGGTTGAAGAAAAACGGGACGGCGTGGGCCAAGCAAATTACCATAATCATCAGCACCATCGTCGTCACCACTATCATCGTTATCACGAGATGCACTCTTGTACAATACCTAATCACACCATCGTCAGCGGGTTAATGTAAAATGCACGCCGAGGGTCGCACAATACAACATCACCACCACCGCCACAATCACCATCAAACCGCACCCACCATCACCGTGACCACCAGCATCATCATCATTACCACCACCGTCATAATCATCATCATCTTCACCAATCATCGGTTGAACCTAAAATGCACATCTCGGGATGGACAAAATCATAGCATCATTCTTACAACCGTCGCTCTCATCATCATCATCATCATCATTCGGCCTTCTTCTCCTCGTCTTCCTCCTCCTCATCGTCGTCGTCTTCCTCCTCGTGAGCCTCCTCGGGCGATGGGTTCGGACCTCTGTTCTCCTTCTTCCACTTCATGCGCCGGTTCTGGAACCAGATCTTGATCTGTCGCTCGGTGAGGCACAGCGAGTGGGCGATCTCGACGCGGCGCCTCCTCGTCAGGTAGCGGTTGAAGTGGAACTCCTTCTCCAGCTCGAGCGTCTGGTAGCGCGAGTAGGTCTGCCGGCCTCGCTTGCCATCGTGGCCTCCTGCGTGGTGCAAGAGAGAGAGTGTGTGTGTGTGGGGAACACGTTACAACGATAATGATCGTGACGATAAGTACAACAATCATCGCTCAAAGACGTCAAAGCGATCTCCTCCGCTTCCAAATGACCGCCGTGCAACTGGCCGCGATCTCCCGTTCACGGCACTGAGCCAGTTGGTGGACGTTCCACATTCGTATGCCGGGGGCGAGCCGTGGGAGGTGGAGGTAGCTTTCAGAGGCCTTAATGCAGCAGTGGATTGATGCTGCTGCTGATGGTAAGAGTCGAAACGCGACGGCCTCTGGAGTATTACAGCGAGCATCGTTGTTTCACGGAGAACGAGACGGAAAAAAAATGAAACTCGAGCCGGGACGAGAATAGAGACAGGGTGTCGAGAGCACGGATGTCTGTCGTAAGGGAATTCCGGATGATGCGGGGGCAGCGGAGGAGAATGTGCGACCTCCCAGCGGGCGAAGGGTGGGCTGGGAACCGACAGGACGCCTTGGTTGCTGGAGTGGAGAGAGGGTGCATGGAGAAGGGGAGTAAAGAAACATGAGAGTGGGGGGGGGGGGGGTGCGGAACAGTGCCTGGAGTGAGATGAGAGAGGAGAGGGAGCTGGGGAACGAGGGGGAGGGGAGTAAAGAGTGGTCCATATGTCTTGTGACCCGCCAATTAAATTACCCCGAACATTATTTTTCCTTTGCATATATTTTTTTATAATAATTAAATGGCGGGAGGGGGGGGGCGTCACAAGACATCTGGACCACCCTGTACATGGAGGACCTGGAAGACGGTGCGATCTTGACATTGATCCGCGATTGGATTGGGAGACAGTGGACGGATTGGAGTATTGGATGATGTGCCAGGTGATTACTGGCCGGGCGACTTTTGCCAAACTGGAAATTAAACTGGCAAAGCAATTAGCAGACAAAGAGTCAGATCAAGTAATGAATTAAATCCAGGTGAAAGCCGCTGGCGAGATGTTAACTACCTCGCCTGGTATGCATGAGGTCGTGGGCTCGATCCTGACCCTGACGCCTGCTGTATATTTGGGGTTTGCATGTTCTCTCTCCCCATGGATTTTTCTCCCTCCACATTTAGAATCAACATGCGTTTGGAGTATTTCAGGCTGCTCTAAATGTCCACGTGATAAGCCACTTCGTTGGGCTATACGGCATAGTGGGCCTTAGCTCGAAAATGTCACAACAAATGTTGAGTTTTAGTTTCGAGACTGAATGCTACCGGACGTTTAAAGCGAGACGAGAGTGACGAAAGAATATAGTTACACGTAACCCTCATTAAGATACAGGCGCGCAAGCACTCGAGAGATAACGCGCTGGCACGGAGCCCACATTTGTCTCGCGAGTGAGACTCTCTCGGTCTCAGTGGAGACTCTCTCGGTCTCAGTGGAGACTCTCTCGGTCTCAGTGGAGACTCTCTCGGTCTCAGTGGAGACTCTCTCGGTCTCAGTGGAGACTCTCTCGGTCTCAGTGGAGGCTCCCGCGCGTGTGGCCGCACCTCACGGGGTGGGCCGCGTGCGGGTTCCCAATCATTCAGAGCCCTGCTCAAAAACATCGTCTGGATACACTCGGTGATGCGCTTGCGGAGCAAAACGGTTCGGTTGAGAGCGAGATTGGGGAGAATGGTAGGGTGCGATTATGGGAAAGAGAGGAACATAATGGAACGGAACACACCGTTGCGTGTAGAGAGAGGAGTATTGGCTGTGAGGCCACAAAAACGATCACGGAGGTAAGAAAAAAACAAAACGCCGAAGAGTTCGGAACAAAAGCAAAGTAGATCAAACGACGCACTGAGATACAAGAGACGGCAAGGAATGGAATCACAGAACAAACGCAGAGCGTACACAACGACGCATTCACTGCTGGCTAAGTGCAGGGACTCGTCACTGGAAAGGGTTGGTCGATGGCCGGTGGGCGAGACTGCTGACGGAATGGCAGTCGAAGGAGGGAAACGCCACCACGGCGATGGAGCCATTCATATCGACTCGCGTGAACAGTGGCTCGTGTGAACAGGGCTTTCGTGTAAACAGGGGCTCGTGTGAACAGGGGCTCGTGTGAACAGGGGTTCGTGTGAACAGGGGTTCGTGTGAACAGGTGCTCCTGTGAACAGGGGCTCGTGTGAACAGGGGCTCGTGTGAACAGTGTTCTCGTGTGAACAGGGGCTCGTGTGAACAGGGATTCGTGTGAACAGGGGTTCGTGTGAATAGGTGCTCCTGTGAACAGGGGCTCGAGTGAACAGGGGCTCGTGTGAACAGGGGCTCGTGTGAACAGGGGCTCGTGTGAACAGTGTTCTCGTGTGAACAGGGGCTCGTGTGAACAGGGGTCGTGTGAACAGGGGTCGTGTGAACAGTGTTCTCGTGTGAACAGGGGCACGTGTGAACAGGGGTCGTGTGAACAGTGTTCTCGTGTGAACAGGGGCTCGTGTGAACAGGGGTTCGTGTGAACAGGGGTTCGTGTGAACAGGGGCTCAAGTGAACAGGCGTCGTGTGAACAGTGTTCTCGTGTGAACAGGGGCTCGTGTGAACAGGGGCTCGTGTGAACAGTGTTCTCGTGTGAACAGGGGCTCGTGTGAACAGGGGTCGTGTGAACAGGGGTCGTGTGAACAGTGTTCTCGTGTGAACAGGGGCACGTGTGAACAGGGGTCGTGTGAACAGTGTTCTCGTGTGAACAGGGGCTCGTGTGAACAGGGGTTCGTGTGAACAGGGGTTCGTGTGAACAGGGGCTCAAGTGAACAGGGGTCGTGTGAACAGTGTTATCGTGTGAACAGGGGCTCGTGTGAACAGGGGCTCGTGTGAACAGGGGTTCGTGTGAACAGGGGCTCAAGTGAACAGGGGTCGTGTGAACAGTGTTATCGTGTGAACAGGGGTCGTGTGAACAGTGTTCTCGTGTGAACAGGGGCTCGTGTGAACAGGGGCTCGTGTGAACAGGGGCTCGTGTGAACAGGGGCTCGTGTGAACAAGGGTCGTGTGAACAGGAGTTCGTGTGAACAGGGGTCGTGTGAACAGGGGTTCGTGTGAACAGGGGCTCGTGTGAACAGGGGCTCGTGTGAACAGGGGTCGTGTGAACAGGAGTTCGTGTGAACAAGGGTTCGTGTGAACAGGGCTCGCGTGAACAAGGGTCGTGTGAACAGGGGCTCGTGTGAACAGGGGTTCGTGTGAACAGGGGCTCGTGTGAACAGGGGTCGTGTGAACAGGGTGCTCGTGTGAACAGGGGCTCGTGTGAACAGGGGCTCGCGTGAACAGGGGCTCGTGTGAACAGGGTGCTCGTCTGAACAGGGTGCTCGTCTGAACAGTGGTTCGTCTGAACAGGGGTTCGTGTGAACAGGGGCTCGTGTGAACATGGGCTCGTGTGAACAGGGTGCTCGTGTGAACAGGGGCTCGTGTGAACAGGGGCTCGTGTGAACAGGGGTTCGCCTGAACAGGGTGCTTGTCTGAACAGGGGTTCGCCTGAACAAGGGCTACACGGCTGAGGATGCTGTTCTTATGCTAAGCGGGGCATCGTGGGGAGGTCTTCATCCAGCAGTTGAGAGACCATGGCTGATGGTAATCACGATGATCTCCATCATTGCTGGAATATTTATACCATGAGTGACGTGGCGGAAGATCGTGAAGGGATGTGCGTACAGTATTGCTAGAGGTCAGGGTGTCCACATGGTTTAGTATATACATTACTGTACGGCAAGCACGCACGCATATACGAAGAGGCGGAAGGTGGCTGATGGACCTACATCCATTTTTCGTTTGTTAATACAATGTTTACGTCGACAGGCAGATCCGTGTGTGTTTCATATATTACTGCATGTGTTTAGATACGTAACAACGTTGGCATTCGCTGGTAGAGTAAAACCTATTTTGGAATCGAACGCGTCAGTTAGGCGTGCGAAACGTGGAATGCATAGGGGGGGGGGGGGCTACCTTATCCGTCTGGTTAATTATAAGACGCACCGACACCCCTGTACTTATTTGTAAACAAAATTGGAGGATGCTACTTGTGATTCGGTGTGTGTGTGTGTCTGTGTGCGGTCGTGCGTGTGAGAGATGTGGAGCGGTGGCGTAGCGGTCAGCGCTACGCTGCGCTACGAACCCGGCGACCAGAGTTCGATTCCCGCTCACGGCCAACGCCAGTGACGATTATCTGAACCGGTCCTCGGCCTCCCCTAGGTCGACTCAGCCTCAAATGAGTACCTGGTGCGGTGCGTAAATAATCGCCACTGGGGAGACAAAGGCGGCCGGGCGTGGTGCTGGCCACCCACCCCCTCGTGTGCCGTTCCGCCCTTCACAGGTGCCGCTAACAGCACTTGCCCCAACAGTCTGTCAAGGCTACACGGGGGATCTTTGTCTTTGGTTGTGCGTGTGAGAGACCAGTTTTGTACAACTTTATTGACACCAGGTATACGTTTGGGTGCGCGTGTCTTTTTTTCTCCTCCCTCCAGAGCATCTTCTAGTCGGGTAAATACGGTCGGTGGAGGCTTCGTTAAACGCCAGGCCTTGCGACCCAGCCACGGTTACAGGGCCCTTTTGTCCACGTGTACCGGTTCAAAGACTAAGCTCGCTCCGCACGTTGCACGAACCCGATGATTGGTCAACAATACGTCGAGTCGACTTCGCTGTGCACATTTACAACGCTGAACATGCCGTGGGTTTAATGCGTATCAAAGCACGGATAACAAAGACTGCCCCCCCCCCCCCGTAAAGCCTTTGCGTGAGGCACCTATGAAGGCCGGCACTGCACACCATGGGGGTGGGTGGCCAGCACCACTCCCGGCCGCCTTTGTCTTCCCAGTGCTGATGCTTACACACCGCACCAGGTACTCATTTGAGGCCGAGTTGATCTAGGGGAGGCCCGGCACCGGTTCGAGATAACAATAGATTTTTTTTTTCTGCACAGCCCCATCTATATGATGTTGTCCACACAACGTTGCTTCGCGGCAGACGAAATATACAGTGGCAAGCTGTTATCTAGCTCGACTGATACACACAGTTCGTT